TATGCATACAGAGATTCCGCCTAGCTGTGGAAGAAGTGGAAGTTGGAACGTACAGTCACTGACCGTCCGATGATGAATACCGTCCAGTGACGAATATGACAGTTTCGCCTGTTGTTGTTGGCGGCTACAGTCGTGACAACGGATTCACCCAACCTTACTTTTGTACGGGATTCGTCAACGGACGGTATTCGTCAACGGACGGTATTCGTCATCGGACGGTCAGTGACTGTATATATAGAGTACCTAGAATCTGTTAGATGGAGAATGAGATTTGGTTGATTGATTGATTGATCATTGTGCAAGAAATTGAAACAAGGGATCCGGATTCCTCTCCTCAAGTCTCTATTCCTACCTTCTCTCAAGCCCCCCCCCATATGCTCTCCACTCTCCTACTGTAGCGTCGGGCGTACAGCATCACAGAGGCTTCGTACGGTGGTATTTTTGTTATCACGCCCACAACTGAACTCTTCACAGCGAAACATCGATATATTGAGTAACTGCTTTATTAAATCACCCTCTCCACCTCCCGCAAAAGCCTGGGCCGGCCTTCAGACATCCAGCGGCCGGCCGCGCCTGGCCGCCTAGGAGCGTTAGGACTATCCCTACATGACTCCTAAGTCTCCGCCCCGCATCCATCATGTTTAGCCTTAAGGTTCTCGACGAGTAAGTCAGTCTGGTTTGGCACCACACAGTACGGCAGGGGGTCAGGCCAATTAGTTTGCGCTTCGAAAAAGGCCGCAAGGGCCGCCGCCTGTACCTCTAGAAATTCATCACCTGTGTTCTGAAGCTGCCTGGCCTCCCGCCCGCCGGGCTGCAGATCAACAGTCCGGCCAGATACAGTCCACCCTGACGGAGGCCGACGCAGACCTGGGCCGGCTTAGTCCAACCGCAATCAGGCCTATAAATGCAACCTCCACAGACCGAGAGACAGATGCCAGCGGCGAAGCCGAGAAGCCATACCAGGTATCTGCTCGATTAAGGCACTGTGTTAAATCATGGCGAAGCGACTGGGCTGCGGGTTCTCATACGTGAGCCATGGGTGGTGGTGGCTTGCGCACGTTAGTCTGGTATTTTAATACCGAGTAGATGCGGCATGCACCAAGGCGGTTCTGAGAACTCATAGGAACACGCTGCATCAGATGTACGTATGTCTAGAATTTTCCGGAATGCTTCACAAGTATCTCTGACAAGAAGCAGGGGAATTTTCCACAACGCAAAGATGGAGCTCTAACTATGAGCGTGCAGTTGTCCTCGTTGAGGAAAAGTATGATGAGTACAATCTCTTACAAAAACTCATATATAAGGCCGCCATATTAGGCCGGATTTTTTTCCATAGCGAATCGAATGACCCAGGAGTGGAATCCTCAATAAAGATAGGGCTTTTGTGACGCGTGACGTCCGAAGAATCGGGCTCGGTATGTACTAGTACATACATCAGTACCAAGTACTAAGTACTTAAGAAGTAATTGCCAATGGAACATGACCGAGTGACAACTCATGCGTGAATCTTTGCCATCTCTCAGCAGTCGGTATTGTAACAACCAGATGTAAGTTTGAGTGGTCACCAAGCGTAGAAGAAATGTGCATCTAGACTAAACATTCACTTCATAGACATTACGTCCTGCATGCGCACTTCTTAGAAACTAGTGCCTTCCTCTGGCGAAAAACTGCAAGAACGAGAGTGTGGGCAAACGTATGAATCCGCAACTATCTCGTCCCTGTCCTTCACATCCTCGGTACAACGAGACAACTGGGCTCTCATGACTTTCAGAATCATGAACAATGATGTATATAACTAGATCCAACAGGCCACGCACTTATCCCCTCCACTGGTATCCTGTGCCGGATAAGTAGGGTCTCAGCCGGCCCATGCTATATGAGGGGATCGAGTGATATCAAAAGCATGCCACCGGCAGAATTTAGTTACAATCACATACAGTCGGTAGACGGAAGGTGAGATCATGAAGGTTGGAGGTCCCGCAGTCCAACGATATCAACACACTAATCTGTAATTATAGCTTCAGTCCGGCGTGCTGAGACCCGGATGGTCCCTCTCAAGCCTCTGACACCTCTGACACTGCTGAACCTGGTCTGGTTCACCCAGAATCATCACAAGCAGAACTCTTCAGAATTACGTACAGTACAAGCCGGCGGCCATCTTAGTTTCCGATCCTCTGCGCATGGGATTATATTACGCACAATCCTAGACCCTGAGAAAACCAGCTACCTACTTAAACTTACTACGTCACCTACGTCCGTGCCAACAGATTGGTCTTAAGTTTACTTAAGACTCTACCAGACGCAGATGCAGTGGAGATTTGACTAAGCGAAATCTGCGCCAAATACAGGTGCTACTATATGATTTTGAATCAATCGCATGACATGAAATGGCGGTGGTAAATGATCCTTTTCCTGCTGGTGCCTGCATCTCCAGGTATTCAGGGAGATAAAGAGGGAAGTATAGGACAGTCTTTGGAGGAGGGGTGATGGGGTTGCGCTGTAGTTTGAAACGATAAACCAGAAGTTCCGTGATACTGTACACCGTCACGAAGTATAGGGAATGGAGCTGTGGAAGGTATACAGTTAGCAAGAATATGAGAACTCTTGGGGGTGGATCCCCTAGCAGATCGGCGAGGGCGGAGTCAGAGAGGGCCCTGTCAGTAGCCCCGAGCTGATCTGGTTCTCCAAGTATCTAGAGAGATAAGAAGAGGATCATAGGACAGGCTCGAGGGGTGGACGATGCTGGACGCTGTAACTTGAAACGATAAACTTAAGACTGTTTCCTCCGCAACGGGGGGAGCCCCGAGTAGCCCCAAGTAGCCCCAAGTAGCCCCAAAACAGCCCACAGAATGCTACTTATCCGAGTGGTACATACCTTAAGTAGATATATAGCACCTACTCTCCGGATCCGATTCAACTGCGGGGAAGAGCAGCAGTGCAGCCCGAATACACTAACACTAATAACACCAAGTTATAGTAACTATATCTAGAACTACCAAGTTCAACAACGTGGTCGAGCTTACAGCATAAGTGTAGTAGGTATGTAGGTAGCTTTAATCACGATCACTCTGGATAAATTGCGTGGCACATGCGATTCCGATGATCAGATTCCAACTCAATATATCCATGGATCCAGCAATGAAAACCTAACCCAACATCTTCTTGTGCCTGCCTGATTTCTTCAATCATCCTACCGGTTATTTCTGCCCGTGCGCGTGGCAAAATGCATGCCGGTAGTTTCTTTCGTCGTCATCTCCTGGAACTTAACCGTTTCATCCATATATTCACCCATCTCCAGCCCCATGTGTCGGAGTCATGAGACCATGAACTATGGAACTTTCGATGCGGCATGTTCCAGGAGAGAGAAGTTTATGTAGATTTCCCCGCGATTTCTGAGTATGTATGACGGTGTCTTACGTTCTAGCGTGCTCACTGCATATCCAGACCAGACTAATTGTGGGAAGCCCGTAGAGAGGGATATAGAGTAGGTATGTCCAGCACAGTACCTAATTCTAGACTGGAAGGCTAGACGATGTCCCTTCACAACTGCTTTGCCACTTCGCTTGGAATTAGGCACATGAAATTTGGAGGTACGTAGCAACAGATCCATAACCTCTCAACCGATGGACTAAGGTTACTGCACCACGTGGTGTAGACTCTATAATGTAGACTACTTATAATTATAAGGAAGGTATCCCCTACACGCTCGGTTTGTGTAGATTGGTTGCAGAACTCAGGTGGCGGACGAGAGTATCGCTGATGATTCGGACGCCGATCTGTGGCAAACCAGTGCGCTTTTCCATTTGTCATTTCAGCCGATCGACAAGTCCAATTGCCAGAGTTGAGTTCTGCAACCAATCTACAAAAACCGAGCGTGTAGGGGATAGAAGGTGGTTCTATGTATCCCATAAACATCCAACACGCTAATGGATGAACAAGTGTGGAATGCTAGGATTCCGCTTTGACAAACCGGAGCCATGATCTCTTCAAGTATACGCACCATGGAATGGGTTCAACAGCCTAACTCTAGTACTGTACTGGCCGCTGAGGTTCGGACACTGTTGGTTGCTGACAGGTGATTTCACTTTGGACAACTGTTGCTGACGATGTCAGAATAATGGACATGGTGATGGTATGATGCCCATGCGGTATACAATTCATCTTCCCCCTCAATAATTGTCTCCTCTCAACGTGCAAAATGGCAATAGGTGTCAAACCTGTTCCCAGCAAACTCGTCTTTGTGATATTGATTTGTTTTAAGGGTAATAATAAGAATTGAAATCGAGGGTGCTGACAGATTTTACTGCTTGGACACTGCTCTGCTGACGTGGACAGTCAGCCCGTGCTGACTGCTGACGTCCAAACCTCAGCGGCCAGTACAGTACGCTGTTGTCATTCAATCCGTACATCACACACAGTATCACTCGGGTGCAAATTTACATTTTACCGGCCTCATGGCCCAATGGCAAGACGCTTGACTACGACTTCAAATTCGAAAGCAAGAGATTGCAGGTTCGATCCCTACTGTGGTCACTTCGCTTTTGGCTCTCGTTGAGCACCTGAGACTAAACTTTGATGTTAGTTTCTATATTTTCGCTGGTGGCTTCGCCATGTCGTATTCAAGCCGTCTGATTGAAGACTTTGATGGAGTATTCTACTACGTATATAGCGCCGAGTTACTTAATACAGGTGTAATAATAAGAGAAGGTATCGCTTCTGGATCTTCACTGCGCTCGCAGGTTTGGCTGAGGTTTTGTACAAGATGGTAAAGGTGGTGGCATATCCAAGAGCTGATGACTTAGCTTAGCCATCATGATCATGATGCTATAAACACAGTGCTATAAACACCGGGGTTCGAACCCTCCAAAGTCGACGTCAAAGGCGCTCTAAACGTCAGAAAACGGCATAGGCTTAAAACCCCATGGTGTAACAAATGCCGCGGCTAGACCACAGGTCCCAAACCTCCAGTGCTCACTCTTTTGTCCTATTTTTTGCACTTCGAGATCTAGCTTTGGTTCTCTACAAGATGGCGGAAATTATCGCATCGGTATACAAGAGCTTAGCTTAACCGGTGCAATAAACACTAGGTGCTATAAACACACCGGGGTTCGAAACCTTATGGCTCCAAACCTCATGGCGCTACAAACGCTAGACCACAGGGCTCCAAACCTGTCACTTTTTGGCCCTGCATTTGACTAGCTTTGGTGTTGTACAAGATGGTGGAAACCATCTCATATACAAGAGCTGATGGCTTAGCTTAGCTGGCATGGTGCTATAAACACAGGTGCTGTAAACACCGGCTGGGGTTCGAAACCTCATTGCATGGTGCTCCAAACGTTAGGTCCTCATGGCGCTTTAAACGTCAAGACACGGGCTCAAAAAAAAACATGATAAGTATGGTGCTGCAAACGCTAGGCCGCAGGTTCCAAACCTGTCAATTTTGGCCTTTCTTTTGCCCTTCGAGGTCCAGCTAGGCTGTGTTCAAGATGATAAAGGACGTTGCATCTCCAAGAGCTGATTGCTTTGCTTAACTTGTGCAATAAACATCAGGTGCTGCAAACGCCGGGGTTCGAAACCTTTAAGTCAAGGCGCTACAAACGCCTCTCGTGTAGACCACGGATTCCAAACCTGCAGTTCTCTCTCTTTTGCCCTGTTTCCCTTCGAGATCTAGCTGAGGTTGTACAAGATGGTGCAGATCATTGCATTTCTAAGAGCTGATAGATTAGCTTACTTAGTCGGTGCAATAAACACCAGGTGCTGTAAACACCGGGTTCGAAACCCCAAAGTCAAAGGCGCCCTAAACGTCAGAACACGACCCAGGCTCAAAACCTCATGGCGCTACAAACGCCAGACCCGGGTTCCACATCTGCGGAACTCCAGTCCTCACTCTTTTGCCCTGTTTTTCCCTTCGAGATCCAGTCTGGTTTTGTACAAGTTGGTGAAAAACCAATGCATAATCAATAACAGATAGCTTAGGCATGGTGCTACAAACATCAGCTGCAGGTGCTTCAAACATCAGCTGCAGGTGCTTCAAACACCGAGCGCGGGTTCGAAACCCCATTCATATAACGTTCTAAACGTCAGGACACGGCGAAGGATCAAAACCTTATGGCGCTGCAAACGCTAGCTATTTGTCGTGGGTTCCAAACATCAGTGCTCTTTCTTTTGCTCTGGTTTTCCCTAATGGAGGTAGCTGGCGCACCCTGTGAGAACATCCAGAAGCGATACCACCTCTTATTGTCTACTGGGCCCTCCATATACACAATGACAAGACTAAATTCGCCGGTCCATCTCATGGACTCGGGCGGACTCGGATGCGAACAAGTAGATTTCCAACCTTCTGGTTGAGGTTTTGCACAATGCAAGATGGTAGAGGTCGTTGTATGTTCAAGATATACTTTAGCGGGCCGGTATGGTGCGACAAACACCAAGTGCTATAAACACCCGGTTCGAAACCCCCAAGTCAAAGGCACTTTAAACGTCATGACAAGAAGCTTCAAACCTCGCGAAGATCACTGGTTCCAAACCTCCAGGACTCACTCTTTTGCCCTCCGAGATCAGCTGTGGTGTAGTACAAGATGATAGAGTTCGTTGCATATACAAGAGCTGATAGCTTAGTTCAACCGGCATGGTGCTATAAACACCAGTTGGCCAGCTGCTGTAAACACCTGCCTGGGTTCGAAACCCATGACGTTCTAAACGCCAGGCATAAAACCTAATAGCGCTACAAACGCTAGACTGCGGGTTTCAATCCTGCGGTGCTCATTCTTTTGCCCTGGTCTTTGAAAATCCTAGCTTAGATCCCGTACAAGAAGGTGGAAATTAATGTGAATATCAATAACAGATAACTTAGCCAGAATGGTGCTATAAACACCAGGTTCTGCAAACACATCGAGGTTCGAAACCTCATGGCGCTACAAACGCTACTCGAGTAGACTACAGGTTCTAAATCCTCGGTACTCACTCTTTTACCCTTCGAGAATCCACCTTAGATGCTGCACAACATGGTAAAAACCGCCGCATTGTATGCAAGAGCTAATATCTTAGCTTAACTACATGGTGCAATAAACACCAGGTGCTGTAAACACCGGTTCCGGGGTTCGAAACCTCCGAGTCAAGGCGCTTTAAACGTCCCAGGCTTAAAACCTATAACGTATAGAACGCAGGTTCAAAACCTATCGTTCTTTCGTTCTTTTATTCAAGATATTGCAATTGCCCCTCCATAAGTTCCCCCAGTGTTATGCAAGCCACTCTGGAAAACCGACAACGCCTCAATCGTTCCTATGGGTCCATAACCTGATGCCAGCATCGCCCCGACCATGTCAATCGCGGCTTTTGAAAATTTTCCCAGTGTACAAATCTCCAAAAGATTACTGGGCTTCACAGCAACATCCCAAATCGTCTCGGGACCAAGACGGCACACGATTCGGCATCAGTGAGTGATACGCCATGACCTCCACCACTGAAACTCTCTGGTTCTCAGCACATTCGCATATATTCTTGATATCTGTCGTTCTACCCCTTTGACACACTATTTATACCCACCACCTCATCCCCCACGCACGCACCACCACAAACGTGTCTGTACGCCGTCCACCTGGGAATCTGTGCACCCAGACATACCCCTACTCCACACAGTGAGCGCACTATATATTAAGAATCTCGATAGCCCAAGATTTGCACTCAATGCTAACGTTATCCCCTACACGCCTGATTTTCTCTGATTTGTTGCATTTTCTGTTTGAGATGCCGATCATGAAATTTGGCCAATCAATGGTCTGAAAATGCATAGCATTAACATTGATCGACTAATGAGCACATAGGGCTGGAAAATGCAACAAATTAGAGAAAATTAGGCGTGTAAGGGATACATGTCTTTACCCCAAGACGATTCTTTTCAAAAGACAAAACGATCGAGAATCGAAGATTCATTACAAGCAATCAGGAACGTATGCGTGTTGCATATGCAGGCTTCATGCCCACCAATATGCAATTACGACTTTTCCTTCTACATAGTAATGAGATATATATATATCACATTGACGCACGATATGCCAATGATCCCAGCCTGACCAATTGGACGGTCTTCTCAATACACACGTCCATTTACACCAGGTCACTAGATACTGTATATATATTCCGTAGGTAGTTTGTTCTGAACATTCGAGCTTTGTAATCGCTAGACTAACATGAACACTAGCTACTTGAATATCAGACAAAAGCCTTTTGACCGTTGTGCTATGCGCGCAACGTTGACAGGCTTATATACTCATAGGATATACGTAGGCCAGAGTTCGATTATCTTAGGCACTTGATATGTTGTCCGGAATTCCGTGTCCCTCAACGTGCAACGTTTGACATAAACGGCCGAATGCCCAATGTGTGAGATTATATGTACTCACCCGTACCAAGGATGTGGGGCGGAAGGGTGCGGGGGTGTGGTGGAAATTTGGGGATGTGGGTAGTAGTTGGGGATGGTACGACTTGGAGATAAGAGGGTTCTGCGGACACAAGGGGCTCACACTGTTGAAGTACCGGGGAAAAATGGATATATGTCATGATCGGTAACGGTCGAATACAATATGATTACAAACAAACAAACCAAGGATGTGGGATTCACCAGTTGTGTTTCCCGTCGTTAAGACCTCTCACAAGGACGATCTATTCTCGCCGTTGGCCATTCTACGGATGTGTTGTGTTTGTCAATTGAATGCAGGTGTGGTGGACGGTACTTGATCAAGTACAAAAGAAACCCCTGGTTCACCAAACAAGAAGCATCTTCATTGATATTTCGGCATACCACCAAAAATACCACCAATATGGACGAGCTCAAGAAGACGCCGGCTCCCACGGCTATCGAACTGAAGGCGCGAACAGATTCAGGTTCTTTAACGACGAAAGATGCTTCAGAACTCTCCCCGGAAGCAATTGCGTTTGAGAGACGCTTAGTCTGGAAGCTTGATCTCACCATTTTGCCGTTTCTCGTAATTATCTTCTTTTTGGCGCAGATGGGATGTTCCGATATTGCGAACGCGAAGATTGCGGGGCTGGATAGAGACCTCGAGATAACGCCAGGACCTTATGCGAATATCATCACCGCATTCATAGCAGGCTACATTTTGTTTCAACCGGCTGGGACAATGTTAGTGCGGTATTTTACTCCGCCATTGCAGCTTGGTGGTGTCATGGTTGCTTGGGGAACTGTAACTGTGTGGTGTGTTGTGGGTGAGCCAGGAACATATAGGGCGAGCACTGATTGTGGAATAGTCATATTGTGGTGAAAAATTGGGTATCATTGCTTGTCTTGCGTCTGTTTGTTGGTATATCGGAGGCGTTCGTTCAGGTGAGCTCTCTCCCCTTAATTCAATGGCTCATCGTGACAACGTTCAGGGAGCAGCGCTCTACTTGTCATTTTGGTATACGTATAAGGAATTGGCGCTGCGTGGTGCCATATTTCAATCTGTTTCGTCTCTTGCTGATGCTTTCAACGGGTTGCTGTCATACGGCATTGCAAAAGACCTCGGAGGTGTAAA